AATCACTTCATTCCCCCTGGCAAAGGATGTTTTATTCTAGATTTCAATGGCATCTGACTATAACAATGGTTAATTTGAGATATCCTGTATGCACACAAACAAGTACAACACTGATGAAATCACAGGTGACTTTAGACATTTTAGAGGATGACAGGTGACTTTAGAGGTTGGGAAGAGGTTCTAAGCATTCTATTTTTACTAGTAATTTAGCCATCTAAATCTAAGTCTTTCTTCAGGATTGTAACTGTTCAATGAGTCTGGAATCTCTATCCTGATGAAGAACCTTCCAGTCATCAAAGATATACTCTGGCTCCTATTTCACTTGGCACAAATACACTTTGCTTCTCCCTTCCTTGAAAATACAGCTGGTTCAAATAAAGAACTTGGTTTTCTCTTTTTTTTTTCTTGTTAATCGGTGTTTATCAATCATGATTTACAAAATATTGTCTCACTAGCAAGAAAAAACACTCATAACATAGAGTCCTCATCACTGGCTTATTGATCACAGCGATTTGGTGCAGTAGGCTCATCAGTGCATCCACGCTACCAAATACATCCAGGAAGGTGGGATCACAGAAACAAGAACAAGAAAAGCACCAATTTCTAAGTGTTTGGCCAGTCTTACTCACGGGGAGTTGTGCCTGATCCTGCAAACAATGGATTTCTTTTGCTGTAAAACATTGCCAAATGCAGAAGTACTATAAATCTGTCCATAACCAACTTTATGACTTACAAATAGCCCAGTATATATTGAAATGAATTTAATATGCATTAATGAAATTGTTTCATGCTCCTAATTAAAATTAGCATTTCTTACATGCTGAAAACTGAGAAGTTCGGAAATAGCCTTATGAATAGCCTCCTAAAATGGCTTACAAATGTGTTTGTGGCAAGGCCATGGATTATTAATAATTATTCCTAATTTTTTTTTTTTGTCATCAGTTCTTACAGCTCTAATTCTTACCATGCATTTGCGATCATCCACCCCAGCTAAATCCTCCTCAAACTCCTTTCCTACATCAAATTCCATGATGTAGTTTCTAAAAGTGCTTAGCGTTTTAATGATCATATGATCCCCATTCTGAAGGATGTCTTTGTCAGGTTTTAGCAAGTTTGCTATTTTTCTTACAGCAACATTTACATCTGAAAAACAAAAAGAGTTATTTTAATCCAGAAAAGTCTACAAAAGAGGATTGTAGCTCTTGGGAGGACTAATGCGAACAAAGATAAATAAATGAATGTCCAGGTCCTTTCAAGATCAGCTTGCTTATCAGGAGGAAGCCTGTAGCCTAATAATTCTGTTAAATAAGTCAATGTTTTGACTGTTGCTTATGCTAAACCCCAAATAAATTCCACTTGTATATGACAACTAACAAGGTTCTTTCTTTGGAAACACTGGCATTTTATATACTTCTTCATCAAATGCAAGCACACCAAACAACATCAAATATATTCTTGTGTTTGTAGGACACATAACACTTCTAGTGATTTTCAAATTATGAGTAATTTTTAAGTTTGAAAACCGCCATCTCTGTAATTGTAAACTTCAAGATGGTAAAAAGTAGAGGTTGTTTAGGATAAACAGTTTTGCATAAGGCAGTTCTTACAGAGCACTTCAAAAAACAAATCTCACAAGGATGGTTCAAGGAAAAAGAAAAAACAGATTCTTGTCAAGACTAAGAAGACTAAGACAGGTTGCATTTATTCATTATTTACTAAAGAAACATGAAGGGAATCTTACCCAGGGCTTTCAAATACTCTTCAAAATTGTCATTGCTGACCATTTTCCAGTAACCATTGAAATCTGCCGGCATCCCTGCTCTAGGTAATTGTCAAAATCAAAGTCTTCCTTCGAACAGCGTGTGATTCTGCAGCACACGGCTCACTGCCTTCCTTTGTGGTGAGCTTGAACTCGGGTTTCTTTTATCTGTTTTTCAGACCGTGTAGCCATGAAAGTCCTCCTAATCCGATTATTGGTGAAGTGTTGCCTTTAAATCCTTCCACAAGGCCGAACCTCTGAGATTTGTAATGACAGCAGGATAACTTGATTTAAATGGAATGAAACATTCACCTTCCCCATAATTTCTGTATGGCTACTGATTATCTGCTGATCCATTTTAACCATATTACTCTTCATTTTTCATGCTACTCGGAAATAAGGTCTTTTAAATGGTTTTAGTCTAGGATATTAACCAAGGCTATACAAGGGCTTGTGTGTTTTTTAGGTGAATCCTGCTTCCTGGAATATTTTCTAGCTATGTTAGGCCTTCGCCTTTTCAGAAGAGTCATACAGACTCTTTTAGTGAAATTTAAATTAAATTAGTTTAAATTATGTGGAGAACCAGCCCTGGGAGGTGCCTGGCTGCTCACCTGGTGGCCCAGAAAGGGCCACATGGGTAGAAGTTTACATTAAGAAGCACTGGTTGTTTCTGTGTATTGATAAATAGCACGTGCCTATGAATGTGTCCTGAAAACCAAAGACATGAAGAACGTAACATCTTACGTGACATCAGTCCTCAGTGGTCTCCTATAGCCCTGCTTTAGTCTGCAGAGCTCCTATGCTGAAAGTGTGCCCATATTCTGCTGCAGGGCTGAAGTCAGGACTAAATCATTCATCTTGGCAGATATAAGTATTGTGCATACTAAAATATCAGCATACTGAATCTTGTAGTGTATTTTAGTAGCCATATATCACTTTATATTACAACTCTATTTCAGACCTAATGAGTTAGAAAAGAAACTGTCAGTCATATAATGTGGTGTCTTGTCCTTGCTACCTTTGAAGAAACTGAATTTTACACAATGCCATAGAGTGTGGACCATTTCAGCAATCCAGTTTCCTCAAGGGAGCACTCCCCTTACCTCTTCTTCACTTCACTCTCAGAATGCATAAATACTTACTAGCCTTAAATATCCCTTCCAGATGCTGAAATTAGAAAGCTGGTACCCTCAGAGAGCTAGTGAAAGGGACGGAGGATTCTCCAGGTGAGACAGGGTATGAGCTCAGCTCAAACACTCTAAATTGCTTTATTAAAAAATGTTCCTCTCACAAATATGATGCCTAAAGTTGTGTGAAGCTGTATCCAGCCTAAAGCCTTACTGTGCAAGCAGAGTTTCTTATTTCAATGGGGTAACACCAGAATGGCTGCACTGAATTAGAGCAGAACAGTCCTGTTCCCTGCCTGTAGCAGTGGAAGGATATTATGATCCTTGTAAATACACTTTTCCAGATTCCAGTAATTTGTGATTCAAGGACTTTGTGAGCCAGTTGTGTCTCCTTTATGTTTAAAAATCATTATGTTTAAAAATACTGCTTTGGTAATAATTTAGAAAGTGTAAAATGCTAGCAATCGTTTAGTGAGAAAAGGTAGCCATAAATTGCTTTAGACGTGTCAGTAGCCATTTATTCCCAATTAAATCAGGTTTGATACTGGGTCTTCTGCAGCTTCTACACAGTGTTCTCTAAGAATAAAGAAGAAGGCTACACATTTTTCTGGCCTACAGTCAGTTTTTGGCTGTTCCTTCCTTTTCCTCTTTCCTGAGTATAAGAAGATCAGAGCTATTCCATTGTTTTAATAGCAACCTTCCAGAAGTGATTTTTCTGAGATATAGTTAACCTACAGTATGTCAATGTGAGCTAGACTGACTCAGCAAAGCAAGCAAGCAGAACAGAGAATACATTTGTCTGGCTAAAACTAGGCTCAACTACTGCCTAAGCCGCTTACCTCTTTCCATTTATTTTCCTTTCTGCAAATGCTAAAGTTCAAGTTCCACACTGTTATTTCACAGTAATCTCTGGTACGATGCAAAGACTATATCCAGGGACAGTGCTGACTACTATACAAACAAATGTATCTAGACCAAGTAACATTTCCCTCCCCCAGAAATATTCTTGAAATTGTGCATCATCATATTCAGAGAGAAGAATGAACTTTTTGGCTGGTACTGGCTTTTCACATCACACTGAGAAAGTGAATTGCCTTGCAAAAAAAGACAACATGGTAATTTCTATGTTGTGCATGACACAATTTTGAGTTTATCATCTGACTAGTCTAAGAAAAAGTGGACATGTTTTACTATTATGAAAAATTGTCTTTTTTTTTAAGAGATTGGGGTTCTTTAATTTAGATGTGTTGCTTCTCATAGGCTTTTCTTTTTTTTTTTTTTTGCATTGCATTGCTGGACTTCAAAGAGAGCAAGAAATTACTAAGATTAATCCATCCATGAAGAAAAGTGAAGAACAGAATGATCAACCCCATTTTGCAAGGTTCTCCTCATAATGTGACCTACCATATCAGTAACATTTTTGCCATTGACAAGGAGGGTCTCTCTGCTCCCCATCTTCTTGGATCTACTCTTTGGCAATTGCTTTCTCTTATAGAATACTGACTCAGAGTAACAAAGAAATGGACTAAATTGGGGGAGGATTTTTTGTCTGTTCTTTTTAATTGGGAGGATTTAAACTGACATGGAAGCTGCAAGCATTTTTAAGTACTTGCATGAACCAAGGCTTTATTTCCATCTCTTGTCCAAACTGCCAAAACTTGAACTTACACTTACTTAAACTTGAGAAACAAAATTTATTCATGTCCCTAAAAATCAAAATGTAGCAAAAATACATGCATTTTTAAGGAAAAGTTATAATTCATTTTATTTTGTTGCTTCAGAACAGTAAACCATCTTTATGGTAAAACTATAAGATTAAAGAATTACAACTTCAAGGAAGTACTGTTTGATCCTGAAGTACTACTGGAGAATTTTAATAGCTGTTTTTAAAATCTTCTCTTTTCACAAGGAAAATGTTGTTTATACATTTTAAGAACTGCACCTGAGTATCCTATTTGATTAAGCATTACCACATACAAAAAGTTTAATGCAAAATACCAGCTGAATCCAGAAGCATTTTTGGCTGATGTACTTTTCCCTCAACGACAAGAAAACAACTTTCTGAAGAACGTCCCATGAGAAATTGCCACGTCTGTTCCTTTCAGGGACTCCAGCTATGAGTCCTTGAGCGGGTCCTCTCCCGTGTTACGCAGCCGTAGAGGCTGAAGCAGGTCGCCCTCGTTCTTCCGCTCACTCTCTTCCGTGTAGATATTGTGGTGTGCAATGTAGGAAATGACAGAATCTGGCAGGAGATACTTTACACTTAATCCTCTGCACAAGGCCTTGCGTATTTGTGTTGCGCTGATTTCATTCTGAATCCATTCTTTCACTAGGAAGATATTGTGCTGATACTTGGTTAAAAGGTCTGATTCGTGGATGTGCTGACCAGGATCAGAGCCAGCACGGCTAACACACACCAAGCCAAACTTTTCTACTATTTCTTTGACGTGCTCTTCCTTCCAGAGATTGGGTGTCTTAAATGTCTGTAGAATATCAGCTCCACAGAGCAGTTTTAATTCTGGCAGAACTAGGAAGACAAAAAGGAAGGAGAGATTTCGACACTTGCTCAGATGCCTGAGAAGATTATACCCAGAAGTTGTTTTTACGAACGTTTTTTAATAGTTTACTTTTACCTTAAAAAAAAAAAAAGACGAGAAAAATTCAGATGGGATTTTTAAGATGGCTAGCTGCAATTGCATGCTTTTTCAAACTTAGTGTATCCACTATTTCATCCCTCAGAGCATATCAAATATTAATGTACAATGTTAAAGGAAAATTATTTCCCCACTCAAGCAAGCCAAAAGGGGAAGAAGGAAAGGGGAAAAGCATTCTGTTGTGGAGATACATTTCCTCTGGAAATGTAAGCCATCATCTATTTACGAGAGAAGGGAGGAACTATAGTCTTCTCTGGAGTTCTCAATAGCAGCGCTCGGTCTTTCCCCCTGCAGGGTGGTGTCAGGGATGACTCTAATTCACTCCTTCCTGGTGGGCCATGTGTTTGGTGCATCCACGTCCGTATTGCTGCCCAGCTGGACAGAGTACACAGGGCAAAAAATATAGGCAGTGAGAAGCTCTACTTGTCCTATTCACACCAACAGCTCTTCAGGGATGGCTGCCAGGTGGTAGAGAACAAAGAAAAAAACAAAAAGCAAACAAACAAAAAATCCAGACGCTCTGTTCTAGACAAGGAAATCTGTGTCTTGCCAGGCCTCCATCTCAACCTATTTTTGCCTTTTATCCAAGACTTTAGAGGAAAACTGTGTTGATGACTAATCTATTCTAAATCATGAAACCCACCTTATGAGGAAAAAAGATGAGTTTGCACTTTTGTGCAAACTTGCTTGCTTTTACAATAAAGCTGAAATAACTACATAAAAAATATGACATACAGTAAAACTACATACAGTAATAGTCAAAGGAGAATTTTATACAATGGAAAATTAAAATAGTCTTAACGACTTTCACACTATATTTTCTGGATGCTGTAGTGAGAAGAATCTGGCTTGTTACTTACCAACACTAAATCCGTACCAGACACAGAGTTCAACTGCAGTCCAAATGCCTTATGAACTTTTTTCCCCACCATCTATAAAGATTTAACAACTTACCCTTTGGAAACCTTTGTGTAACTGTGAAAAGCTTAAATATATTATTCATGTCTGAGAAGTGCTGCAAGCACTATAGGAGAAATGTAAAGTATCAGAAATCTAGCAGTATCCTAGAAAAGCACAGCGCTAAGGACTATGATAAAATAGGAGAGCCTAAGCCGAGTGTGTTTCTAGAACATGCCCTGCTTTTAGTGTCAACAAAAGCTTTTTTTTTTCCCAATATATGCAGTGAGCCTCAGCGCAGCAGGGTCACTGCTGTGGTGTGCATGTACCTTGTTCCCTGGCCATTACAATAACAATCACAAGTAATTCCTATACTCTTCAGTATTATTTATTAATTATACTGTATGCTTTAGAAAATCAACAGGGCCACAGCTTCCATCCCTGGCAAAGCTTTGGGAGATGCTTATAAAACTGGGAATTAATGCAGGAGCCCTCGAGCTGAGCCTGCCGTCCGTGTGGCAGGCACTGCAAGGAGGTGACACGTCCCTTGGCCGTTGCCAGCCACGCGGCCGGGGAATGGCCGGGCCTGGGCAGGGCTCCAGCCCTCACAGCCCCCAGCTCCTCCTTGCCCGGTCCCTCCTGTGAGGCCAAGCTGCTCAAGGTGCGTTGCTGGCAGTGCCGAACCCCAGAAGTGCTTACGGTGCCAGACCAACCTGTGTGCTGGCGAGAAGGGCAATCCGGTGGGGGTCTCTGCAGGGGCCACTTGTTCCTGGTGAACTCCTTCCTGGACTGCAGCAATCTATTGTAATGGTGCCTGCGGTTCAAATAAAGCTTCTGTGTGAAGTAATCCTCTCAGAGAGGCACAAAGGGATTGCCTTCAGCCTCAAGAACACAGGCGGCTTTTATGCACATTGGGTTTTAATACAATTTTTGGGGATTTCATCACGTTCATTCTATTAGAAGATTAGTATCAATGCAGTTAATGTTTTGCACAATTCACAAGCAATCTGTGCAAGAGTGTTCTGGTTTCTGATTCCCTTTTTAAACTCCACCATGCTGGTAGCAACGTTGCATTTAATGCATTATGGAGGTTTTTGCTTGTCAAGGATTAAACCACACTTCAGTTACTACAGTTAATATCTTGATTAAATGCAGCCCCTCAGACAGGATGATGTTTCTTTCTGCATGTGTTTATCTGTGTGCTCCTTAAAACAGTTTTCAGAAGGAGATAAACCTCCTGCTCTCTTTAATTCTCTCTGCAAAAATACATTTCTTGAATTTTCCCCATTATCTTTTTCCCTTTCCTTTTAATAAACAGTTCTGATCCCGAGAAATTCAGAATTCCCTCAAAATACACAATTCCTGTACGATTTTAGACTTCTGGTATGCTTCTCATTGAACTGAGTTCAGATCTCTGAAGGCAGGCAAGGATCCTTTTGTCATTTGTCCCTGTTTTATGTCACTTGCCTCTTTTACTGCTCCCAGTCACTGTTGCCCACCCTAGCATTGGTACCTCTCTCTCACTGCATGGTAGGGGGATCCACGCTTGTGCACAGCTGCAGAGTATCAACTAGGCAAAACTGTTCCGGGCAGCATCCTCCCACTGGAACAGGGCACCTAGTCACAGGCAAGTGCTCCATGCCCTGTCCCATCTAGCACAGATACAGCCAAAGTGACAGGTCTTATATAACAGTCTCAAAGCAAAGACTGTAAGTTACAAGGTAAAGCTCTGCCCTTAACTCACTCTGAAGATGGTGGCCATACAAAGCTATAAATAATCCTCTGAATGTCTGGCCTAAGGAATGAATTTACACTTTAGTGTTTTAAATGTATGCTTTTCAAACCACACAAACACTCAGCGCCACGGGAAGTGGCACTGGTGCCCAGAACACGCTGGCCTGGCCACATGGTCATCTCCGGGCATGTCTGATGCTCAGCCTTTGACCAAAGGCACTGTTGAGACAAGGGGTGAGACACACATGGCAGTAGAGAGTATCAGTGGCTTGGCCGGGGCCGTGCTGCATTTATACGTTCTTAATCCTGCCTTGCTGTAAACAGGCTGCGCTCTGTACAGTCGAGTACAATAACGTCATGTCAGGGACTGGCACTCATGGGCCTTGACTCAAAAATATGAGCTCTTGGCAGAGAGTCACTGCAGGACTAATGTTACAAGCACTGAAAAATCTTCACTGCCAAAATGGGTGTTCAGTGGTCACCTTAAATGCTGCAGGGTTTGGGTTACTTTAAAGACACTTCAAAAAGGACAAACCAATGTGTCAGTTTATCAAGTGTTTTCTGAGCTTTATTTGAAACTTCCAATAACTACCTAGTCATATAAGCATAGTTCAGCAAAACTTGTTGGATAAGACAGATATTTGGCAACTCTAAATTAATTTCTAGGGTGTCCGTACTGCAAGCAAATCTAGGTTACACAATAGATTAATATAGTTCTTTGCTTACTGACAACATTGTTTTCTTGCTTAGAAAGAATTTTCAGGAATATGAGTTGACTGAGAAAGATCTCCATCACTTTCCTCCTTTCTGGAAAAAAGCCTTGAAAAAGTCTCCAAAATTCCCATATTTACTTAAGGTAACAGGCACCTAATGGCATTGTCACAAACGAGGTACCAGCTCTGCTGTTTAATATTCTTCTGTGTCATAACAATTTGGGAGCTTCGGGAAAATCTACAGATTCTGATGGAATATGACAATTTCATCACATTCAGGTGAAACAAGTACTGAGGAAAAAGCCATTCATGTGTCCCTTCACAGGACACAATGTCCTAACACAGTGAGGTGTATGGTTCAAAATACTGATATGAAGAGACATTTATGTACAGTAAAGGTTTGGCCTTCGCTTTGCAAAATCTTTCTGGTGGTACTGAAGTTTCCTAATTGAAAAATGAGAACAGATAAAACTACAGGCATAGTAATGAGAGTCAAAATATCTAATCTAGAAAAGAGATGCTCCTGAAGAATGGCTTTGTTTGTCAACTTTCTTATTTTCTGATTCACATCTCAGTGTTACCCACTCAGAGGCATAAAAACTGGAGAGAGAACATGAGAGCAAAGAACTTAGCCAGGTAATCAGGGCCCATGACTTAAAGGGCACAAGCGCTATACTGCAGATTATCGTGTGTGTCTGGGGAAAGCCTATCTGCTCTGCACGAGGAAATGAAAGACTTCAGGTAGGGAATGCTGGTTAGAAAGCTTTTCTGAAGAAAAGTGACATGAATTTTTGTTATCCACAGATCTAATACTATCTCGTAGCAGATGATGCCATGAACAAACACATTCTGCTTAGCTTGATCACTTTACATGAATCAGTTCTGTGTATTCTTCTGGCAGCTGGACAGATTTCTGGCAATCACTAGCTTCTTAAAGAAAAAAAGAAAAAGAAATTACCGTAAGACATTCACTGTTTCTGTCCATGCCTCCTGCTCACTCTCCCATGGATCCACTCGAATCCAGTCAGACGTCTCCAGCGCCAGCTTCGCCATCGCTACCCGGTGCCTGGCTGAAACCAAGCCTTGCTTTCTGTAGTCATCATTGACTGGAGACACGATGCCTTCAATCACCTCATACCTTCCTGTGAAAACAAAAAAGAAAAGAATCATCTTCACAGAACCTGGAAAACTGAGGCTGGAACAGCCCTCTGGAGGTTAGGTAGCTCAACCTCCTGCTCAAAACATGCTTAACGTCACAGTCAGAGAAGGCCACGAACAAGCTGATTTGTGTGTTATTTTTAATACTAGGAAAAGGTAATATAAAAAATGGAAAAGTTACATTATTGTTCTTTTACTCTCTAAAACATAAAAAACTGGATGAACATACAAGTTTCAAGCAAGCAGAAATATATTTATAATTTACGATGCAAACTATAAGAATTGCAGAGCATTCTGCAGAGCAGGTTGGAATAGGACTTTGTGTCTGAGTGCTGCTTCATTTCACTACTGTTCCAAACTGCTGCGAACCTCTGTGATGGCATCACGCAATTCGGTTACTTTATCCAACATTCATCCCTTATATTGCTTTGTCCTTCTGTCACCTTTTAAGCTTAACATTTGGCTTCTCTCAGGTCAGTCTTTTTTCTGTTTTTTTTTTTATTAACATTTGTCCTATATTGCAAAAAGAAGTTATTAACATATGCTATAATACTGTTCTAGCATAAACCAAATTGCTAGGAACTCAGCTCTTCCTGCCGAGCAGTCTCTTACACTCCTGAGACAATGAAGAATGAGACCTATTTGTTTATCCCGCCTGGTTTGCTACGCCAGTGCAACTACCTCAAATAATATTTTCCAGATAATACTTTAAATTTGCAGCATGTCACTGTAAACAGGCAGTACAAATGTAGACTGCACATATGTGATAACATTACCAAAGGACATATGTTTCCTGATTACTTCACTGTGGGGAAAATTTACTTTCCTTGAGATGGTTTCATATAATTGAACACATCAGATGAACCAGCATATTGACTGGTACCTTCCTGTCAGGCTGCAAGGCTTTGCAAACCTCACTGATGTAGGTTTACATGAAACTACTACGGATCATAGGCCAATCTCCTATCTAGATTAGAACGAAACACCTTATCATGCAGTATTGAGTTTTCCACAACTACGGTTTGCAATAAAAAACCTGCTGGTAACTTCTGTGACATTAATTAAGTGTGACAGCAACTCAAAGCCAGGGAATATGCACATTTTCCCTTCCTGTAGATATGGATGTTAGTTTAAACTGAGATTTCTGTCCTGTATATCCAAAATTTGTAAACACTGACCAAAGCAAATTTCCTAGCCTTTACGTTTCTTTCTGGAGCCTGCCCCGATTTTGCCTTCAGCCCGGGACTGACACGCTGCTGGGCAGCGCCGGGGCCAGCACTGAGCCCAGCGGGCCCAGGAGCTGCTGCTGCGGCTACGGATCCCGGGACACGGCGTTGTGCCCATGAAGCAGCCTTTTCTCTACCTCGTTAAGCCTGTTCACGGGACACGAGGTTACCACATGCGTAAACCGTAACAAAACGAGGCTCCTAAGAGCTGTAAGTTTTACTGCACGGTACATACCCAACATACCTCAGCAAAGAGAATCTCTATGCTGAGGAGTTAGTCCTCTTGTGTTACCAAAATGGCAGCTATATAAGAACATGTAATAAAACGATATAAAACTCACTATCAGAAATGAAGGACAAAATGTCCACTATAAAATAGTTGCAGTCAGTCTCATACTTTAGCCATCTAAGAGACACACAGCAGCTTACCTTAAAAAACAAAACAAAACAAAACAAAACATTTCTTTAAAACAACTACTGACACACTTGCTTTTCAGCATATGGCTAGGTAATTGTATTATTTAATTTCTCTTACCAAGTCTTTATGTGTGACTATACATACATTAAAATAACACTAAAAAATCTCTATTAAAGTAATAGTAGTGGTTCGCCTTGAACCCACCAGCAATCAATATTCCTCACACAGCTCTCAATCTATTAATGTTAGGAAACTATAGAGGCATTTTTTTCAGTGTTCTGTTTAAACCAAAATGTTAATCTTATTCACAGGCTTTATTTAACTGGGGGGAAGAGGGCGTTATCTGCCATCTTTGTCCAGATGCTGGGGCAATTAAAAACAAACAAAAAAACCCACCCAACAACTGAATATAAGTCATCCTAAATATCTGAGTTGTTCAAAAGTGTTTACAGATTAAATATCAAAGGACACCAATCCAGTGCTAACTTCCTTTGAGATGCAGAGATTGCCAAACTTAAAAAAGGAAAAGAAAAATAGGCAAGAATTTTCTGCTTTATGTTCAGTCACCTTCTGTGAGGAGAATTCAACAGTAAGAAAATCAAAGGTGTAAACAATTTAGTGATCATTGCATTGAAAGTCAAAATAAGCCACAAATACATCAGAGTAGTAATGGCCAATCCCTTGGGATGTCTCTTCCCAGGATGGATGGCTTTCCCTTCACCACTTCACAGAGTGCTCGGGAGATGCGCTCAGTGAACAGATGAGGTGTGCAGAGATTGTAGTGACAGATGCCATATAAGGACCTGGACAAACATAAATCACATCCATCCAGCTGAGTGAACTCCAGGGCCTGAAGATGCAGATTCACCTCTGTAGGCAGCAAGCCATTCTGATATACCCTGGGGCTTCAGAAATTCGCCTCCAACACGAGTGCCTGAGGACACACAGCAATGAGGCCTCAGATAAAGGGCACGTATCAAGTCTGTAAGGAACGTCTCATAGGAAGGCCTCAAAATACCGTTTTGCATGTACATAGCTCATCGGCTTCAGAGAAAAACAAGGAAAGGCAGCATCCTGAGAGCTCTCAAAATCAGTATTTCCTCCAGAAAGGAAGGACAAAACCACCATTTGGGGAGTAACAATATGAATAATAAAGCACAGTAGCTCTATTCATAAGGTAGCCCCTTCGGAAACACTCTCTGCGCTGGCTTTTGAGAGGAAGGGCACTGGGAAACAGCCGTTCGTCTTGAGTTACTGGGATTCCACAACCAAATGCAGGCATAAGCCAGACACCACTGCAAGCAGGGGCTGTCTGGCCCTTCATTTCAGTGGGTTATCTAAGACAAAACACTCATGAAACACAATAACAACTATTCCATTTCCGCTTAGGAAAGCATTCAGGAAAAGATTAAGAGCTAAACTGTATGTACCAATAACAGTAGTCCCAGAAATGAGTTTTAAAAACCAGACTGATTTTCTTTGGGGAGATGCTGTGTCTTGAACTGCCTTAAGATCTGTGTTTTGGTTGCTTTCATTTGCACCTCTGCCTGCACAGTGCTCCGCAGCTGTGACCCTTGCGGGATGCCAAGGCACACGAACAGCCCTCGTCACGCACCCTCCAAGGATAGAGCCTGGCACAATCAATCAAGACCTGCTCCATTTAAGCAAGCACTGCTCTACATCTTGTAATGCAAACCAAGGATTTGTTTCCTTCGCATTTTTAGTTCAGTTAATTCTAATTAATGTGTGTCAATATTTATCATATAAGCAATGAGTAACTACTGCAAGTTGCATCCCTTTCTAATCATGGATTTGAGTTGCTACACCAGTTTTGAAGCTGTTGTGGTTTGCTTCTTTTTTTTTTCTTTTCTTTTGTATAGTTTTAAAATTCCTGCTATCAGAATTATTGCAGAAAATCAGATTGATGTCTGTGCACTTATGCTGACTTGCAGTGGTTCTGATCTGATCCTTTCCTTGAAACAATCAGTGTGTTTCGATCAGATGCTGCCCCTGACCAGCACACACCTCTAAATTCCTAAGCCTGCTCAGTGGCTCCCTGGACTTCTTGGCGGGGGATGCTGCATCTGACACAACCAGTGCTTTCTATTTCCTCACATTTTCATAAGCTAGGGACCCTTTTCCCTTCACTGCCTGTTTCTGTCTCTCTTGTCATGGATACAAACGTCTCATCTCTCATTCCCCTTCCTTTGCCTGGTAACTCTTCTGATCGTGTCTGTAAACTTTGTGATGTGTTATCCTCCTGTGGCAATAACCTGGGAAACAAGATTCCAAGCATCAAAAATAGGTTGGATCTAGCACAGCCTTTTGACTATATGGGCAAATATGAGGAATACAGTCATGGGCTGTATCATATGGGTGTCTGACACTAAGTGTTAACTGACTGTGAAAAAGTATTGGGCTCAATCAGCACAAGTTTCAAAAAATGCTTTTATGGAATCAGAGAAATCAAATTCTAGGTATAGTTGTGGAATGAGTCATACAAGTATAGTCAAAATTCAGAGAAAGAGAAGCATTATCTTTAGTTTTGTTCACTCACGTGTAGATGTGCCAGTTGTATTTAGAAGGCAGTCTTACAAGATTTATCAACGGAAATAGTAACGTCTAAGTAATAGATTTCGTAACGGAAATAAAAGAATGAATTACTTGACATGTGGCACTGGCATTTCAAGTACTGCTTAATGCATACAGAAGCTTAATGAAATGCCCTGCTCAATAGGAACACATGAAAAATAAGACCAGAGTTATTTGAAACTGAAACAATGTGCAAAAAGCTGGCAGAAAGAATTACTGGAGATGTCCGTCAGGAAACGTATCAGGGTAGTCATGTTATTCATTACAGTAAAATTTGGTTGTGAAGACAGCTGCAGTCAAGCTATTACACAACAGCTATATTCTGACTGAGCAGAAATGGATATTCTGGTGCTGCATTTATAGTTGCTCTGCATGGGATGGGAGAGGCTTCCACAAGCTGATTGTGGTTTCTGGCTCTTGCAGACAAGCCAGCTTAAGCATTCAGGAATGGCAATGAAAATGCTGTGGGAAGAGCTGACACAGAAGAAAATCTTTTCCTTTCTGCACAAAGTACTTAAAATATTGTCTCCACACATTAAACTAAAAAGTCAAAAGGCAAGTCACATGGCACCCAAAACTAAGCCCTGATGCTAGAAGGTTGCAGTGCAGGGCCTGACTTTCATTTCAGCCTCGCAACCCCCCTGTCTGAGTAAGAGGGGTGTCAGAGTGATGTTCCATCAACGCTGTAGCAGAGCAGAGCTGTTACTGTGATCCCCACAGCGCCTGCTCCTCCTGAGCTTTTCTGATTCGGATTTGTTGTTGAGACTGTCCAGCTTGCTGACATCTAGGTCTTCTGACCTCTGTTTTTTTCATTTTGCTGAGGGAGCTGGGTTCTACCCCATAGTAAAGCTGGATAACGAATAACTAATGTTTCATCTTTTCTCCAGATCTATCTGGTATTTGAAACTGCTAACTATAACACTTATTCATATTACATTCCAATGTTAACATAAAAGCATGAAAGTGTATCATAACTGGTTCTCACTTTCAAAATTGTTAGGCAGACTTCCACCAGATTCAGCAGGTTCTATGCATATACCCTGAAACTGCTAATAGATTGTTTTAATTCAGCTCTGCGAACACTTACTATGATACCTCTTTCACGTAATCAGTCAAAGAAAGAGGTTATTCTACAATTTCTATATTGAATATGCCATGAAAGCCTCATATTGAATTATCAATAAAGAATAATAAAATTAAGTAAGTAGTAAAATGACAGCTCATCTATCCTGCATCACAAAAATACTTCTCCCTTTTCACAGTCAAACACAATGTTTGTGGCTCGAACAACATCTCACCGACCCGTTTGGTGCAGGTGGTCTCTGGCCAGCTCAAACAGACGCATGTGCATATTGGTGATGGGGTTAAAGGAGCCGCAAGCCAGGAGAATGAGAGGTATCCTGCTCTTCATTCTGGCATCAAAGCATTAACACTCCACCCTAGGGAAAAAACATTGAAATAGAAAAGATAAACTTGACAAAGAGTAGTCTTCATGCAGTTAGGTTGTGGATTCTTCTTCCCCAGAGATCTTCCAAACCCGCCTGGATGCCACCCTGTGCTGCGTTCTCTAGGTGTCCCTGCTTTAGCAGAGGGTCGGACCAGGTGATCTCTAGAGGTCCCTTCCAACCTCAACCATTCTGTGATTCCTCAAAATAAATGGGTCTTGGAAGCCTAGGAAAGTGTTAAAAGATGAGCACATTGTATCATCACTGTGCTCAGAAACCCGCAGCCTCTTTGGTATTTATGAATACAGAATCAGCAAATTCTGTTTCTCCATATACAGAATTAGCAGGAAAATAAGGTTTCTAGAACTTCATCTTGTTTTGGATCCCTGTTATCAAAATAGGTAATCTCAAACCTGACAGAGGTTAGAAATTCTTTTTGATTTTTGCCCACTTTTATAAGAAAACAAGCCTCAGGCGGTCTGTCAATTGACCCTATAGAATAAATATTCCATCAATGCTGTTCCTTAAAAAATAGTAGTGTTCTCTCCTCCGGCTGCTCCCAACTCTTGTTGTACTATGAGGTTGAAACTGTCAAGCCAGTTTTGTTGCAAGGGTGTAAGTAGAAATTCCAACAGGTCAATTATGTGTTTGGCCCTCTAATGGGAGAGTTATGGAAAATGCACAACCCCCATAGATTGGCAGGGGAGGAAAGGACAGAATTTATCATCGAGATGAGGGCTGCACCCTAAAGAATGTACTTTCTCTCAAGGACTTCTTTGGTAACGGGCTTTTAGGGCCCTGCAGTGAGGTTATCAAGGTCAACACAAGCAGCACTTACTGAGCACTTCCTGCACTCGTTGTCTCTGCGCCTCCACTTCGCTCTCAATGGGGCAGGAAGCAGTAAGCAACTTCTTCAGAGGTCAGGCCTGCTTTCACAGCCACCTAAACTGCAGTGACTCATTCACCTCTGCTCTTCATGTAGATTACTGGGACAAACTAATGCTTCTATGCATGAACTACTGTGCTTTTAAATGCTTCATAATCTTTAAATGATCATCTCAAGAACTCTCTGAGGATGATTACTTGTGTGTAGGAACTGGCTTTGTACATACAATCATTCCTGAAACAGAACGTTCAACCCACCAGAAATTGAGAGATGAAAAGATCTGTCAAACAATCTTTAAGGAAAGATAAAGCTGGCACTATTTCACAGAATCATGGAATCACAGAACGCTTAGGGTTGGAAGGGACCTCTAGAGATCATCTAGCCCGACCCACCTGCTCAAGCAGGGACACCCACAGCACGGGGCACAGGGTGGCATCCAGGTGGGTTTGAAGATCTCCAGAGAAGGAGACTCCACAGCCTCTCTGGGCATTCTGTTCCAGGGCTCTGTCACCCTCATAGTAAGGAAGTTCTTCCTCACATGGAGGTGGAACGTCCTGTGTCCTATACTGGCGGCACAGCTGCTTTAAATCAGCATACCATATGGGCTACAGGGAGCAACGCTTCCTCACGCCTGTGCAGTGCTGGGCCCTGCCTTGTGTGCCTTGCCCAGCAGCACCGCGCACCTCGGCGTAGACAAGCGCTCGGCAGAGGTGCCTCCCGAGGAGGGCTAGCAAAGCTGCCACAAAAGGGGATGCAGCCCCTGCTTGCACATCATTTTCCCAGCATTCCCTTCCTGAGCTTACAAAGTGGCCTTCTTATGTTTAAAGAAATCAAATTTGTTATAGAGAAAAGATACTTCTACTACCTTATCTCTCTTTCTTTAGTACTAATCAATAAAGGTTTAAGTGTTGGTACTGAAAGAAGCATCCCCCACCACCCCCACCCCAGCTCCTCACCTTGCTGCAGCTTTGCAGCACAAACTCTCATTCCAGAGGCACAGAAATTAAGTCGTGTGGTAACCTTTTATACTGATTGGGAACTTATTACCTGTCAGCCCAGTTTCAGGTCTTCTCTGTTGCTTGGGAAAAGTGGCAGACAATCATTTAACAGAAGAGCTACATCTGTAATGAGATTCTCTCCAGCCTGTTGCACCTCAGAACCATCTTCATATGATTAAAGTGATTTGCTGCTGCCTTGCTAAATAACTGCAGGATGGGTTTCTGCTCCTCTGGAAAGGCTTTGCTGCTCTGGTAGCATCCGCGTGTGTCCCTCAAAGCACCAAATCAAAGCCAAGGCACCATTTGAAAAAAAAATCCATTTCAGAATTCATACTTGCAGTGCATTAGTTTAAAAAGTAACAGATTCAAAATTGAACTTTAAAAACCTTTTTGATGGGTGTGACTGATAATTAAAAAAAAAATGCTTCTGATAGTTCTTTGGGAAGAACAACACTTTCCCTTAAAGCAGTTCCAAAGCATTCGGTTAAACCTGGAGAGCAAGTCATTTAACATCATTATTATCAAGAAGTGCTAGTGAGAACCATATACTTATTTTGAGAGTTTAATAATTGACCTCAATTTTATTAAACCTGATTCTCTTTATAAAAAGAAACAATTACACTTGATTCAGCTGTGAGGCGGGGGGAAGTCAATAAATGATGTAAATGCATCTCCTGCCAGGTCAGTTTTTCCCTACTGGGGAGACACTGCCTATTGTACTTCTAATCTGTTAAGGATAATACATTCTTACTTCATCTTTGCTCTCCATTTTCAACGTTCATAAGTAACAGAAGCTTTGCTGTGCTGGAACACTAGATGTGTTGTTTTAAGTGACAAAGGGGATGAGGTTTGAGTGAGAAATGTAGTAATGGGTTTGCATTTCCTACAGTCCTTGCGCATGGTTCCTTCTGTTGAGCATTTCTGAATTAGGGCTCGTTCCATCTGCTCCTCTCTGGCTCCATGCACTGACATCCTTGGCCATGTACATGGCTTCTTATTAGCTGCCACTTATCTTACAGTGATACTCTCTGTATATAAAGTTTCCAACAACATTATGCAGCCATACATTCAAGGGCAGATACCTTCAAATGAGAAAGTCGCACTTGAGCTACATAAAAAGTTTTATGATGGAAAAATCATTATAGTTTTCATTAGGAAATTCCTGCAAGTTCTTTTTGCGTTCCTTTTATTCCGAAAATACGTCAATAATAGATGACGTTACAGATGACCACCGTTAAATTCTGCTCAAAGTTAGTAATTAGAACCATATCTGATTAATTACCAGAAGCGCAATAGAGTGCTGAGCAGTGCAGTTTAATTTATGAACTTTCAAATATGCTGTTAAATTAGTAAACTGGGAGACAAGACACTAATAAGTGCATGCCACGAGGCTGACTGACCCTTGGGGTAAAACTGCACTGCTGACACAATCGCAGGTTAACTGAATCCCAGAACAGGAGCAAGTCTGAGCTCATCCTGTGGGGGCAACTGGGGACTAATTTCTATAAAACTGGTATTTGACAACTTCTAAGCTGCCGCCTTAGCCAGGCCTTACCTGGGCCTCCCCATCACCTCCTGCAAATGCCTGCAGTTGCGCTGAACGCGGCTGGGTCACACCAGCTGGGTACATTGAGAAGTCAGAAAATAGCAGCACACCCCATGAGCTGACCCAAGTCATGGCAGGGCCACAGTACACAAATAACCCTCAAAAATATGACTAGATAGCAAAGATTTTCTTGAGTTTGAGTTACTGGGAACTACGGCCATAACAGAAGTTATTTGAGTCTGCGTGTTCCCAGCATGTGCTTTTACAGTGATCCATCCTCCCCAACAGCAACAAATATTTCCGTGTTTATCCCCACCTACCACTTGAATGATGGACAGATCATAAATACCTGGGTGAGAGAAAAATGAAGAATGTATAATATAGGATTATATTTTATTTGTTCATCAAAAAGTTACTCACCTCAGCCAGGAAGAATTTTACAGGGTGGCTATAAATATTCTACATAGCCAAATATGGCACTCTAATCCTATGAAATAGCTGTTTCATGACCACATGATGGATCATATTTTTGTTAAATTTCTGTGATTCAGGTGCACTTCATTTCATTGGCTTTCACTGGAGGTAAGTTAACAAAGTATATGATAGGATACGTGATTTTCTATCACATTAAAAGTATGAAGTTGCCCCTAGCTATCCCCACACTAGACTTCAAGTCAGAAAATGCAAGTCCCATTCCTCAGATGCGGGAAAGTCTGGCCTTTAAGGTATCTGCAAAGGTGCTCCCATAATAGAATGCACTTTTCTTAATATTCTTAATTTGGGTCTCGATCCTACAAATGATCTTGCTCACTGCTGAACAGCCATTTTGAGTTCAAAAGACCATTCATGCACACCTACATTGAAGATACATATGCATCAGATTCATATATATGTGCATTTATTAAACTTTGGTAGTTGTCAGATGTATCTGCAGTCTTTTTTAAACAGTAAAAATGTAAAGACAACCCACAGCATAATACTTTTGTGCTCCTTCTCTATATTCTCTGGGGAGATTATGGCATACTCCCTGTGCATGCAGGTCTTTTCTTGTGCGGGGAGGGAAGGGGAATTCATTGCCTCTTAATAACACAAAATATTCAGCAACATTTAGACATGCAGATCTGTAGTCATTTCATCTGGTTACTTAAATACTTGAAAAAACTACTGGTACTACACTAGTCCATAAACTACAGCTAAAATAAATAAAGGAGATGGCACAGCTTTGCCAGCTACATGCATTCAGCGTGGGCTGGGTAAGGCAGGGGCTGCGCACGTGCTGCGTCGCAGCAGCATCTACGTTATTTTTGAGCATTTCAACATGGTCAAGGGACTGCTTGTGATCAGACACAGCATCTGCTTGTACTGCAACGTAATCATTATAACTGCTTGCCCAATAACCCCTAATGATTTCCCCACACGGAGCGTAACTCCTTTTCTGTTCCTTGCATTAAAGGTCCTTTCCACACAAACCAATAACATTTGTGGCTTTTTCTTCTACATATGCTGTATAAATTATATTAAGTAACCAATGAAGTC